TCCAATATGAATATTTGAAAGGTGTGAATTAATTCGTTGATGCGTTTCATATTTCATAGCTACCGACAGCCGATTTTAGTTTTGGCTGCCAGCAGTGAATAATGGAACAGCCTCATTAGGTGACTACTTCTACGCCACCTCCATAAATTAGATTGAAATGCTTACATATGGACACATTGCCTCCTTACGGATGTTGAATTCGGAGACATACTTGCACATACATATGTAAGAACAAGTAAGAAAGTCTAAGTTCGGGCGGAGCCGAACATTAAATACCCGGCGCAAGTATTAAATATATGTTTTTTCACCTTTCTGAAAGCTGCTGCTAGATGGTAAGCCGGCGTGTATCAATTTTGAGTAAATTTGCGTCTTTAAATTTCAAAATATTGCAGTTTCAAGCATTTCTGAAATTTACCGTTATATGAAAAGCGGCCGTAACTTTAGTCCGATTTCAATAATTTTCAACGTTTTGCTTTTATGTGGCAATAAAAATACCGAGTTTGGTACAATTTGGTAGAACGGTTACCGATATAAATATAACATAAGTGGGCGGTGCCACGCCCATTTTCCAAAATTTTTTCATAAACGTATTTCTTGGTAAAGAATTGTTGAAAGCATTAATTTTGCATAAATTAGCTTTAATATTTACTGATTTATCGAAGATTTCGTGTTTCTCCAAGTTACCGTTATATGGGATGTGAGCGTTGTTATTGTCCGATTTTAAAAATTTTCGACGATTTGTTATGCCGTACTAATGCACCGACTGTGCCAAGTTTGGAAGAAATTGGTGCAGCGGTTACCAAGTTATACACATGTAACCATAAGTAGGCGTGGCTACGCCCATTTTCCAAAAAATTTTAATATTCTAATTTGTCGTCTAAAAATTGTTGTAAATATCAATTTTGAGTGAATTATCTTTAGTAGTTACTAAAATATCGCAGTTTTCGTATTTCTGGAAGTTACCGTTATATGGGAAGTGGGCGTGGTTACAGTCCGATTTCGCCCATTTTCAATACCAACCTACCTTGGATTAACGGAAACCTACATACCAAATTTCGTTAAGATATCTCAATTTTTGCTCGCGTTATCGTGTACACGGACGGACGGACAGACGGACAGACAGACATGGCTTAATCGATTTCTCTATTCATTGTTGCACAAGTGCGCTCGGGTATAAAAATGCTTATTGTCATAAATAGGCATCAGCTCCATACTTTGTTAAGAATGCATAAATAAACAACCTTAACCACGAGGCATTTTCAATTCACTGGAGATGGTGCGAAGCCTCAAAAAACGGTTTAAAGTTAAAGAGTTTGCAGTTCCTGCAAATATTTTTGGTTATATTTTTATAATCACCATATTCACACATAAATCCAAGTTTCGAAATATGTACGAAATTTAGGTTAGGAAAAACCTGCAATCTTCATGAAAGCAATGTGACTTTTTTTTAATTCCATTCATGATAAAAATATAGCAAGGTAGAACCGTTCTCTCAATTTGTCGGCCATGATTTTTTTTTGAAGTTTGCCAACATTTTAAAATCATATAAAAGTGAAAATAATTGAAATTGTTTGAAATTGTTGTTGCTTGAGATTGAAAATGAAAATGTGTGTGTGAGTTTGTGAGTAAATTTAAAAATTAAATTGTTTGGAAACGTCAAGAATTTTAAAAGTGACTCTCAGCGGCTCTACCTTACTATATTTTTATTATGATTCCATTGTAGATTAACATTTTAGCATGCAGAAGCTTAGAATATTTTTATTTTCACAAAATTGAAAGCAAAATTGAAACTCAATTGAAAGGGAAAAATTGAAAACAAGTTGCCCACTCAAGTAATAAATCAGAGTATGTTAGTGGAAAAGTGTGAGTGTATTGAAAATTGAAAGGGGAAAATTGAATGTGTAACGTCCCGGTAAAAATTTATAAAAAAACGAGTGTGTATACAGTTGTATAGCCCATTCACTTTTAGTAAAATAAATAGCAAAATTCACATGTCTTAAAATTCGGGTTGATTTTTGGTAATTTTT